CTGCCCGCCTCGGCCCGCCCCGGCCCGCCCCTCGGGCGTCCCCATTGGGCGAGCTCGTCGCCGCACAGCCCGCCGGGAACTTCCGTCATCACCCCGGAAGCCTGCCGCGGCGGCGGCCCCGCTTCCGCCGTCGGCGGGGCGACAGGGCGGAGGCGTGCCCACGGACGGGACGAGCCTTCGGCCGGCACCCCGACGTTCCATCCCCGCCAGCGACAGCCGGACTGCCCACAGGGCCTTGGGGCTCTGCCTGCGCTGCGGGCTAGCCCCCCATTAAGGCCGGGCCCCGCGCTTGGTTCCAGCCTCGCGGCCTTCGCGGCCTAGAGCGGGGCTCCTGCCTGCGCACCGCCCGACGTGGGCACGTGCTCCTGGGATGTGTGGGCCGCCCTCGGCCTCCCTGGCCTCTACTCGCCTCCAGGTTCCGGTTCCACCCCAGCTCCCCAGGTGTGACAACCAAAAGCGCCTGCAGACATTCCCAAGGGGCCCCAGTGAGAACCACGGTCCTAGAGACCAGGCCCAGGGCCCGTTTCCTGGCGCTGTTTCCGTCGGACGCTCAAGTCTGACGCTCAGGTCTGCAGTGTTGATTCCGTAGGAGCCTTGCTTGAAACGGCCTCGTCCCATTACCGTCTTAGTTTCTCCATAGGACTTGGCATTGTTTGGTTTTCTTTTCCTTCGTCCTCCCAGCCTGTCCGTGGTCCCCACAGCTGTAAGCTCCATGGGGGCAGGTTCTTTGGTTTCTCGTTCTTCACCGCGGCCCGCTGGGACCTACAGCAGTGCCTGGCACGTGGCCGAGTGGAAGAGTGACCTCCAGAACCGCCCCCGGCAGGGTCGATTCAGTGCGAGGCCATCTCTTCCTTCATCCTTACCTCCTGCTGAGACAAGGCTGGACCGATCCCCTGGGAAGTGGGCTTGCTGCTAGGCCGTCTGGGTAAGTAGCCCTTCCAGAAAGGCTGGAAACAGCACGTACTTACTTTTTTATTTTCCTCACACCTGGCACAGCTGAAGCCCCAGGGGGGCCTTCCCATGCCCCGCCATCGGTGCTCACGATCTCAGTTATCAGCTCACATGTCACCTTCCTGATCCAGATTAGATCAGATCCCCTTTTTATATGTCACGAGAGCACCCTGGATTTTTTTGCACAGTACTCGTCATAATTTATTTATTTCGTGAAACTAATGTCTATTTTCAAAGCTGGGCGGTCCTAGACTTTATTTTATCCGCTGCTGTATTTCTGGAATCTAGCACAGTACCTGCCAATGATAAATATGTGTGGAATTAACTGAATAAATGAATTAACTGAACGAATGAATACTTGTCGAATTGTAAATGGTGCCGAAATAACATCTTGTGTTCACTTAATTTTTTTTTTGAGCTGCTAATGATGTTCTACAGCGTATATTTGTACCCTGATTTCGCTGATGGAGAAAGCAAACCCTTCGAGACTCCTGTCCAGGAGCACACAGGTCTCGCAGGCACTGGGACTCAGACTTCAAAGAAGGCTTAAACTCACCCCTAGTCCAGTGTTCTTCCACGCTTCAGCCGGTAGATAAGACAGGACCTGAGAGTGTCCTGAGATGGACAGGGCTGACCCCCAGGCCAGGTGCAGAATAACATTAGCCTTGAACATGGAGTGAAAGGCCGTTTGGTGTCACTCGTGTGACAGCTGAGTGCTGAGGCTCTGCCCGTTAGAGATGTGCCATTTTGGATGACAGCAAAGGAGCTCGGTTGGAGTGTCTTAGTTAAGAAGCGTAAAGCTAAGCGAGAGCGGGGGCCGGGAAACAAGGAGTTCAGGATTTCTAATGAGTTTTGAGTGGCCATTCCCGGCCCACGGGGGGGTCCCTTGTGCACTGCAGTCTCTGATCACCTGAGGTTGCAAAACAAACCTGAGAGGCAAAGTGTTTGGGTTTGGCTTCAGTGTTTAAAAAAGAAGAAGAAGAAGAAGAAGAAGCAGCCAGACCACGTATCACGGATTCCACGTCTACGAGATGTCCGGAATTGCGGATCTGCAGAGACACAGTGCAGACTGGTGGTGGTTTGCTGGGGCTGGGGGAGGGGAGCGCAGGGAGTGACTGCTCAAGGCTCTGGGCTTTCTTTTCGCAGTGGTGGAAATACGCTAAAATTGATTGCACAGCTCTATGAATGTTCCACAGATCAGATCGAACACGAAACAGACGAACTGTATGGTATGTGAATTATGTCTCAATTAAGCTGTTGCTTCAAAAAGGTGAGCTAACGGTTAAGAATTGGACGTTTTCACCTATAAATTCGGATGCTCTGCTGCTATGTAAAAAATAAATGAGAACTCTGGCAGCTTAGGGACTTGTGGCCGCCTGATATGCTACTGACCAGCTTGAACCACGCCTCTGATGTGTGAGCCTTTATTCCTCATGGGTCACAGTCCCCCAGGGCTGGGCGTGTGACCTGCTTGGTGAAGAGAATGTGGCAGAAGTGTCCCTGGGCCAGGTCTGGACTGAAACCTTAAGAAAGTCAGGCAGCTTCCACTTCTGTGCCTTTGAGAGCCCTGAGCCACCACGTAAGAAGCCTAATTACCTTGCTAGAGAGGTCACGTGCTGATGGAGAGTCAGCTGATGGAGAGGGTCCCATTGCGTTAGCATCCCAGCCCACCTGCCGGCAAAGCAACCACCGGCCAGATAAAGGGAAAACCCGCCCCGCTGCGCCTCAACCCAGAGCGCCTCAGTGTCTGTGCTAAACGAGCAGCACCGGGTGACAGGGACACGCTGCCGTTCCCCACAGCCATGGGCTGCCGATGCCAGGCCACAGCCAGCGTCCTTAGAAGACGCTCACACTTCCTAGCTCTCCCGAATCCTCCGCGCTCTCCGTTGTCTTGTTCTTGCGGTAGAGGAGTCGTCCTCTGCCTGCACTGTCCAGCGCAGCAGCCGCTGGCCTCCTGTGGCTATACGAACTTCAATCAGATCGAATTTAATAAAATGAAAAAATCTGTCCCTGACACACCGGCCACATTTCAAGTCCTCGGTGGCCACATTTCAAGTCCTCGGTAGCCGCACGTGACTGACTGGTGGCTCCCATGTTGGCCCTCACTCCACCCCTGCAGAAGCTTCTAGTGGACAACGCTGCCCATGTTGGCCAGTGCAGTGAGCACCATTGGTCACCTGTCCGGTGTCCACACCCTCCTCCTTCCAAACAGAATCCTGATCCCACTCAGGTGTGTATCGCTCTGCGTCGGCACCCCTCCCCGACCCCACCGGTCACCCACGTGTCTTGGAAGGAACTATCGTCATCATTTCTGGATCTGACTAGTCAGAACCAGTGCTGGTCTCTCCTGTTCCTTCACTGCGACTAGTTGAGGAATCCAGAGTAGCCACCGGGGACGGGAAATCCGCCCGGGCCCAGGAGGAGATGCGTGACAGGACCTGGCTCCGTCAGGTTCGGGCAAGGGGCACACTCCCAGACTGGGCATGAAGTCGCAGGTCCGAGGTCCTGACCACTGCTGGCAGCTATGTCACCACCACGAGACGGACGAGTTTAGCGCGAAGCCACCTTTGTGGATGGCTCAGGAAAGAACCAGGGAGGCATTAGGTGATAAAAGATAACACGTCTTATGTTGTCGAAGCCACTGCGTTGGGTTCTCTGGTGTTTGTAGCCAAAGCCACAGTCAAAGCGTGGGAAAATGAAAGGGAGAAGAGGTGGGGGCCGCCCGATTTCTCTCGTCGTGGCCCAGTTTGCTCTTCGAGCTCCCTGCCTGGCCCTGCGGTCAGTGACGACGCAGCCCCTGTGACTGCGCAGCTGGCCGGAGCTGCAAGTTGCCTCTGCCACTTCGTTGGGTGTGCTTGTCCTAAAAGTGATCGTGTGACTAATGCCATAAACGACCCAGCTCACACAGCGGGGGCCCGAGGCGAGGCAGTTCTGCCTCACGGGTAGTTGGTGAGTGGCCACGGGGGAGGAGGGCCTGGCCGCGGCGCCCTTGCTGCGGGCTGGACTCAAAAATGCACACTTTGCTCCGAGGTGCACGGGCCCTCCTTTTCCGTCACCTCTCGGTCCCCTGAGCCTTGTTCAGTGCAGAGCCCAGACACGATGCCACCTGATGATGTGGATTCAGGGACCGTCACAGACCGAGGACATTTCAGGGGCTGCCAGATTCCTCTGACTTGTTCCATGACGCTTCTGCTTCTCGTTTCTCATTTGCGTCACTCACCGCTCGCCGTCCCATCTGCTTGCTCAGTTTCAGCTTCCTCAAAATGCTGGGCCACAGTAGCCATCATGGGCTCTCCGCGCCACCTGTCAGTCACCATTCAGCCGGCAAATGGCCTTTGAACAGCTCCACACGTCGTGACAGCTCAGCGTCGGCACCCCCAGCCCGCGCTTCTGCTCTTCGGGGTCCCAGGTCCTCGCAGAGGCACCGCGTAGGCCCAGCTCATCCTCGTGTGTCAGACCATGGCATCGGTCATTAGCTGCGCGGGAGCCACAGGCCGTGTCATCGAGCTTTTGACTCTTTGGGCGTAGGGAGCTGTCATCGGTTGTATTTATTTCAAAGGGTCCCTGTTGCAACAGTTCTATCCAGCTGCAGATAACCTGGGTAGAAGCAGAAAATACGAGAACCAAGAACAGAGCCAACCAATGGAATGGAACCAGGCCTTACGTTCTCAAGCCCAAAACAAAGCCACGCGAAGCCGCCTTCGCCTGAGTTAATTCAGCTCTCAGGATGGCTCATGTCACAGAGGATGTGAGAACGTGCGGCCGGGAAGATGGGTTTGGATTTGACATTTTTCACGCTGTCATTTTAGTTGACCCTTGTGGGTAGCGGCCTCTGCGTCTTGGGTTCTTTCCCTCCTGCATTTTAAGAAATCCACAAGGCGTCTGTAAGAGTCGGGGTTCGCCAATACAAAGGGGAGGTAGGAGAGGGAGGAGTGAGCGAAAGAAGCAAACTTCTGCTTTCTCCTCCTGGAAGAAGTGCGAGACGTTAGTTGGTAACATCTCGGGGCCACACCTAACCTCCTGTTTTAACTACAACTTCTGTAATTCCCGGCATCTGTATTGCAGTCACGAAAGGACAATGGTAGTGATAAGTGCATTCGTTTTTTAGATTAGGCCTTACAGGAAACAGCAGTGGAGATGAAGCCCATGCGTAAAATCATTCAGCAGGTGAAGACAAAGGCCTTTGCAATCCGTAGGGAAAAGACTGCGTTATTCAATAAATTATGTCGGAATGTGCAACTGAAATCTCAGGGAGGGGCATGCTTTTCTGAGCCCAGCACAAAAGCCATAAAGGAAAAGTTGATTGGACTCCACGAAGACTTAAGGCTAATTTATATCAAAACCAGTAATTTCAGTTAACAGCAAACTGAAAAAAGTATTCGAGATCCATAGGACGAAGTTAACGTCCTTGTGTGATCAGAGTTCTTAAGACTCGTGAAACGTACTGGATAAACGTCCAGTAAATGGAATTGCCAAAGTGAGTGTGCAGGTGTCATAGAGGGAGCCGTCCCCCGGTCCTTCCCAGCATCTGGTGATGGCACCTTGACTTGTTGGTCAATCCCTGCTCCCTTCGGTCCGGGTAGGAGGGCTGGTCCCCGAGGCTAGGAGTCCTCACGTGACCTCAGCACTAGACCTATCCAATCAGCACTAGTCCATCTATTGAGCTACAGTGATTGGCTCAAAGATAGACATGTGACCCAAACTGGTCTAATCACAGCTAATCTCATGACTTATTCTGGAGTGACTAGGAAAAAATGGTCATCTTTCTGCTGCATTTGTAATTTTAAAAGCCTGGAGTCACCAAGGCCTGTCTTGTGAAACCCAAGGATTAACCCAGAAGAAGGCAGAGATGAAAAGAGAAAGACCTTTCAAAATGACATTTTCTAGGTCTTGCGTCTGCCCGTGGCTTAAAAGAGCTTTTTTACTGGACATTGGTGAGCCCCTAAGTTCTCATTCTGATTAGGCAAGTGTGAT